ACGACTTTAGCAGTCAAGGGCCGAACCTGCTTGTCCTTAGCAGCCGAGGATCCAAGTTCATGATCAGAAGACGATGCCTGAGTGGGCCCTGGGTGAGAGGCCTCAAAGCGAACCCCTTTGTAAGCGGCAGTAAGCTGAGCCTTGGTAACAGTCTGAGTCCCCTGTGGGCCTTCAGAAGACTTCACGCAGCCCTTAGGAGTACGCAGTGGACGAGTCCGAAGAAGGCTAGAGCCACTCCCTAGGCCAGCGGACGACGGACCAGGGTTCCTGGCCTCACCAATCCTGGTAGAGCTCAGACTAGCGGTGATCTGAGCCTTAGTGGTGGGTTTAGGAACCTTGAAGAAGCGGTTGGCTTCGCGGACAGTGCAACTCCAGGCCCTGCACATGATCTTCTTGACAGGCGAGGGCCTATCATTCCAATACCGGCATTGCAGCGGGTGAGGAGCCTCAGAAGAGCCTCTGCACTCGATCAGCCTGCTAAGATTGTGCCGAATAAAGCGACATCGAAGGCAACTGAGCACCGCGGTAGACTTGGAGGACTCAGCATGCTCCCCGAGGTCAACGTAGCAGAGCACGTGACCCTTGGCCTGTTCCTTAGACAGGATTGGAGCATTGGGCAAGCGACCTGCGCAGTCGACGTAACCAAAGTATCTGTCGGCCTGCTCGAAAGAGATCAGCCAAGCATCAAGAACAGGTCTCACGTCACAGGACCTGTGCTTGGCCCACCACGTGCGACTAGCGCCTGTGACGGGAACCGGCTTGCCGAGGCACTTTGCTCGAGTGAAAACCGTTTTAGCATGAGCCCGAAGCCTGCACTTGAAGCAAGTCAAGTACCTGCCTCGGCCCGATTTGAGATCCGGAGCCTCCAATCTACGCACATCATGTCCCTTGAACTCTTTCACAGAGGAACTACGGTCACACATAGCTTTGAGTTTCTCAGAGATCTTTCGCCGACCCTCCCTAAGGTACTGCACCTTCTTCCAGTTCTGCCAGCGTTTGGCATACATGCGCTTGCGAGACATGCGAGGGTGCACCGAACGTCTGTGGAGCTCAATGCTAGCCGCCTTGGCATCACGACCAAGTTTTGGGAGCCCAACCCGGCAAGTCGGACATTCCCAGTCTCGTTGATCCTGAGGGATGCTAGGTGAAGCAACGACGGGTTCGACCGTATTACGAAACAAGCATCTCTGAGGCATCTTTTCACCGACATGCCTAGTGCACCAGTGCTTCCAAACAGCCGTCTTAAGCTTGTCATAGCATGACGCCCGGATAACCACATCACAACTAGGGCAAGTCCAAGGGGGGTTGTCTTCCCCTTTGGGTCTAGCCGCAGACGAAGCAGCACGAGGAGCCGAAGCGCTCTGAACTACTGAGGTTGCGACTGTAACACGCAGTGCTTTTGCTCTACAAGGTGTGGTTACCATGAAACAAAGGTACTGAAAAAAAGACGAAACACCCTGAGTGAAGTAAGACATGGCATCAAAAGGGGCAGCACAGGGTCTTAATCGGATTAACGTAATAATGAAGCTACACGTGAGACGGCGAATTCGAAACAGAAGAACAGATTAGCATTTAGACATACTTGAGAATCGAAATGGAGATTGGCTAGGTAAAGCAATGACGACCATACCTCACGCAATAGTAACTACCTACACGTATCACAGTGCCAGTTGCTACGAATGGCTACTAAGCTATCATGGCTTTTGTACTTGCTGCTGTTTTTTGATTTTTCAGATACACGTGGATTATTGTGCAGTGGTGCGAAGACAAAAAACTTTGACATGTGAAACGACACCGTCTGACTGTACGGCATATTCGGTGGATGACTGTATAAAGCAATGAACACATTGAGCAATGCAAAAGACTGCAAAACATATTTGCACAGTTGAAATTATTCGGTGGTGTTGATAAAGTGGACTTCAATGAACGTATGTCTTGAAAACAATGACGACAGCCAACTAAACACAGCCATTCTCGCCCTTGATATGAAGTCTGCATGGGTGGCCACGGGGACGCTATGCTCCCATGCAATCCAAAACCTCTGGTCTTGGTGTGCTTCGGTAGGCCTACTTTGCAATACGGCCGCAGTTTTGTCACACTCACTCACTACTATATTCGGCTCCTCGGGACGAGCGTCATCGTTGATGAAATATTTGTGCCTGTGCATTTCCTTACTTCTGTCTGCGTGCGGTTGCGCTCGCAGCCTTTTCTGTCCGATTTCCCTTCGTGATTGCTCACGATGCACCAGAGAAAAAATACCGGTTGCTTTTGACACAGACCTTGGAGACAACATCGATGGTTCATGGTTGACCCGTGTTTGTGAAATACACCACCTCTCTGCCGACTTAACAAAACCATCAGCAAAAACTAAAATCTTGGTACTGGAGGTTGGGGTAGCACATATGTATGTGTATATAGTGCCTCTTCTATTATGTTACATATATTATATCGCTACATATCTATATATATTAATTATATATATATATATATAGGTATCATATTGAAATATAAACAAATGAACAAATACATAAACATATATTTGTATGTATGTATGTATGTATGTATGTATGTATGTATGTATGTATGTATGTATATACACATAATGCGTATTATACCGTATTATATATAATATTTCAATATATTATACGTATTATATATGATACAGGTCATGTTATATCATGCTACACTATATCATATTAAACTATATTTTGTATTTGCTTTAAACTTATATACGTACGTGCGTGTATGTTCACGGTATCCAACCCTCCTCTGATAAGAGCCAGCCATGTTGACGTAAACGGGTACATGATCTATCCCGACATGCCCTGCCTACACCAGCCATCTTTACTTCACCTGTATGTCTGGGCCAGTGCATCAAGATCAAGCATCAGGCATGGTAGCTACAAGTAGAAAGGGCTCCTGAACGTGCATTGCAACTGTACGACCTTACGACTACGACGACTCCGTCGGGCTCCTGTGCAAAAGACAGCAGACACCGAACCACAGTGCTTCGATCACGCCTGCCTGAATCACAGGCTGCCCGGCTTCGAACCTGAGCACATGGACTAACCGGTCGAAATGTCTCAGGTCCTGCAGGTTTCATAGTTGCTGTAGCACCGCTATTGCGTGAGAATTATTGAGGCATGTGCTGCATATCCTCAATGAGACTCTGCTCGGAAGGCGGGTCCTGAAACGACATGTGCTTCCAAATCCAGTCGCAACTGGGCCCTTCGCACTCCGCTACATGCAAAGCTTATGCTGCCAGGCCTGACCTTGGCCCAATCACTAACCCTCACACCCTGCCAACAGCTCGACACGTCTCTTCGTGCCTCTGAGGGTAGCCTTGGTCTCGACGGCCTCAGGTGGAATTGGACTCGAATTCGTTCATGTGCTTCATGGGATTGCTTCTGAGATTTGTTTCTGAGATACAACGGCGCCTGACAACTGAAAAGCCTTAAGCATCGACTTTAGGCCAATATCCCAGCCTTGACAAGGGATCCCTGCTTTAGGATCTTAGATGCAAAGTAGACCCCTCAATGTGAAATTAAACGTGCAGGGCTCTGCCTGCCTTTGCCGGGCAACTCCTGTAGCTGCTTTGGCAGGAAGTGAAGCGTGCATTCGAAACTGTGTCATTGGGTCTGCCCCACGAAGACGCAAGACACTGCTTCGGTCAAAAGAAGTACCCGCCTGGTGCAGTACAACTGCATTGGCAAACATCTGCAAAGTCTTCATCTTCGTGTGGACACGCCAAATGACGCCTCCTGCCCTCTTGCGAGGCACTTGGGCCAGACCAATGAGAAAACAGAATCTGCTAGCAACTGCAGGCCTAAGCACGCTGGGTGCCGGAACGCAGTTGCCCAAGGAGGCCTACCTTCAGTTGGGCCAAGAAGATGGCAGTCAAGCCAAGACATGCTCCACGGCTCGCAAGCACAGCTATACTACAGCTTGCCACATCCCAGACCTGCTCTCTGCTGTATGTCAAAATACTTCTCTGCCATTGGCGTGCCCCGTAACACGCCTCAAGCACAGCTTGATGAGTTATATGACTTGGCACCAGCCCTCCACGCCCCGCTCTGCAAAGCATGTTTGTAGCAAGCTGCCACTGGACACACTTGCTACAAGCACTGATGCAGGCATTGAATGTGATGATCTCTGGTTCATGATTGGAGTCTAGTAAGTATACTGCAACAGTCCAGCTGCCTCCCTTCTGGCATGCACTAACGGCTGCATTGATGCAAACGGAATGAAGCCGCAGGTAGTTGGCGGCCGACTGTTGGAGCATGCGCAGGGATTGCATCCAAGCTCCTTCCCTCTCAGCTGCTCCGATCACAGCCGTCATCGTGAAGGAGTCGGCTTGTAGCCAGTTTGTGCAAATCTCTTCCAATACAGTCACAGCTTGTCTCCACTGCACACGAGCGGCCGAATTGATGGAAGTGGTGCCACACGGCACACTCTGTAGTCCCATTTCCTCTAATGCGCTGACAGCGGCATCCCACCTCCCTCCTTTCTCGCATGCGCTGATGAGCGCATTGTATGTGATCTCATCACCTTGCAGCTTCGCGGACTTGAGTGCCTGGGCCAGCTGCAAGCTATGCTGCCAGACCTGGCGGTTCCCGCAACCACTGATAAGAGTGTTATACACGACTACATTTGGTTGCGTACGATGCACCATGATGTGGCAAAAGGTGCTTGAAGCTGCCCGCCACTGTTGCCCTTCTGTGAAAGTACTAAGCAGTGCACCAAGCGTGACAACCGTTGCCGCGATTTGCTCTTTCCGCCCATTTGCCAGTATCAAGGCTCTCGGCCACTGCCCCGGCACACATGCGCTGATGGCAGCGTTGCGGCAGTGACTTGTCATGACGGTGTCGGCTCTCATGCTGTCAGATATCATGGTCAGGGCAGCTTGCCAGCTACTCGCTTTGCCGCAGGCATCGACGGCAGCGAGAATGCAGTGGGCATCTCTCTTTATGTCGGCCTGGCTCAGACGGGCCATGATTTCCCATGCAACTGCCCAGCAAGAGCTTGTGCTGCAAGAGCCCAAGAGTGCATTGCAGCTTGCAGCGTCTGCCTCCGCGCCGCAGGAATTCAATACATCAAGCAGATGCAGCGTCTCGTGCCAAGCTGCATTATCTCTGAAGGCCCGGACAGGGTCAGCTAAGCTTACGGGGGACACACGCGATCGGCACATGAGGCGAAACAAACGGCTAGCCATCGACAGCTGCCTTGCAGAGCTACACGTACAAACTAGGGTGCCGTAGACTGCAGCAGGGAGCCTCCGTTGGGGAACTGCCCATCTTGAAGCAATGTCCATTGCTTCCCTCCAATTCAGATGAGCCTCTCGGTAGGCACGAAGCACTGTATCAAGGGTGATAATGGTGTGCCGTAGGCCCAGAAAATCCATTTGAAGAAGCAGGGAAAGTGACCTGCGCCATTCATTCCTCAGCAATGCCGCATTAAAGCAGGCGTCGTCTAGAGAAGGACTCAGCAGATTGGCGGCAGCTTCCCACTGACTGCACCTGGAGTGTAGCCCAATGCTGGCACTGAGGCACCTTTCGTTCACCTGAATCGCAGTCGCCGTCATCTGTGCAAAGAACCGAAGCCCGTGCTCCCATCTGTGCCGTAGCTCCCCAAGTGCCACCATGCTCAACACGAAGCTCACTGTGGTGGGCTGAAGCTGTTGGTTTCGCATGTTGAGGAGGGCGAACTGCACAGCCCAAGGCCCGTCGGTAGCAGAGGTCTTCATGGCTGCATTGCAATTGATGGCATCGACCCTGCAACCATAAGTCTTCAGGGCTCTGAGAGCTTGGAAAGCCTGCTCCCAACGATCTGAAGGAAGTGAGGTCAAGATGCGAGTGACCTCCGCTTGGCTCAGGCTTGCAAGGCCATGCCACTCCAGCAGAGCGCTCGAGCTCCGCATGTTTCAACCGCCCTATCGGCTCTAGCACCAACGAGCTGTTGATTTTGAATTCGTAACCTGAACTCCCGACTCTCCCGACCACGACTCCTGATGGGCCATCCAGTGCTGTCACACTTCGAGCTTCGAGCAAGATGTGATTGACTGCAAGGCCCTGCTTGACCACGCAGGGCTTGGGTTCTTTCCAGGAACTTGACCCTGTCTTAACCCAAAAACGCTTGAATGCCAGACCCATGTCTGAAGATTGTTTGCCATGCTCCGCAACTCGGTTCGATGCTGTTCTCGGTTTGCCCTACCTGAAACCATGCACATACTTCTGGTAACACGGTTCTTACAGTCTCATTCCCTTAAGCCTTGGGCCGTAGCTACAAGCCTCGGGTTCTCCAAGCTTGAAGACGAGTGACTACAGTAGCGGCAGTAGCGCGAGCAAGAGTCAATCAGGGGCACACCAGATTTTGTCGGCACCGCATCCTTCCAACTGATCGAATCGCACAGCTTCAGGAGCTTCAAGGTAGGATGCACTTGGCCCGCCCGAGCACATGCATCGGCAGCATCGGCATAGCTAATCAGGTCGGGCGTTAGCTCAGCCCGGGGCATGTACCGCAACAAGTTCAACACAGCAAGCCAGCAAGAAATTGACTGACAGGCTGCAATGGCCGAGTTCATACTTATGAGGTTGGGTGCTATGCGCAAAATTACCATGCAAAAGACGTGGTCCAACGCCATGTTCCAAGTGGCGCCATCACACGCGTTGATGAAGCCATTGTGGACCACTTCGTTGGAGGCAACACCGGCCAAACCCATATGATCCCAAAGACTCAGCGACGATGGCCACCGCTTCCGGTCGATGTTTTCAGCACTTCTGGCTAGGGCATTTGCAGCGCTGCTGTAACTCACAGCGTTGATTGCAAGCCAGCTCGTTCGCACTTCTTCCAGCAGCTGCAACGCCGAAAGCCAGTCGCTCTCACAAGCGCCCAGGGCATTGTTGAATGTAATCACGTTTGTGCGGACATGCGCTCGAGCTATTTGCATGAAGGCCTGTAGTGCCCGAGTCCATTGGCTTCCCCGTGTCCAAGCACAAATCGTTCTTCCGAGTGTCACGACTGTACACCGGACCCGCATCTTGGACATGCAAGTGGACAGTCCCAGCGAGTGTTTCCAGGCGCCAGCTTTTTCGGAAGAGGTCATGATACTGTTGCAACTGATCTCATCCGGTGACAGTGTCAGCTGCGGAGAGACACTGCGCACCAAGTGCAAACCATACTTCCAGAAGCGCTTGTCATCAGAATGACATGCAAGGCTATTCAATGAGATGGTGTCCGGCCGGACCCCATGATCAGTAAAGCCGAAAAATATCGAGACCGCATGCTGCCAGCTTGAAGCCGAGGAAGATGCACTCAAAATGGCATTCCATGTGATCAAGTTTGGGTTGACCTGTCCAAGCTGTCGGAGTGTTTGCAATGCAAGCACCCACTTCCTTCCCATGGAGCTGGTCGCACTTGTAAGGCTGATCACGTCTGGTAGGCACCAAGACATGCTCATAACAGCCAATCGCCTCAGGGCCTGCGTCCAGGCACCCGTAGCCTCACAAGCAGCAAGCGCAGAGTTGTGCAGAACCACATTGCAGTTTACAAGCTGCGCCGATGCCAGTAGCTCACACGACTGCACCCATCTGCCAGCGGCCCCTCTTGAACAAGCTCGCAGCACGCCGCTGAAGCTGAACAAATCAGGTCTCATGCCTCTCTTCGCGACTTCCTCCAGCAACGACAAAGCCAGTGGCCAGAACGGTCCATGGCGGTCGCCTGCAAAGCACATGCAGGTGTTGAAACTAATCAAATCTGCACGAAGCCCCAGGCCCATTCCAGTGCCAAGCTCTGCCAGCAGATGCAGAGCAGGAGCCCATTGCAAAAGAGACGAACCACTCTCCTGATGAGCAGCCATGCAAATGTTCAACGAGGAGGTGTCCGGCGTAACCCGACGCTGCTGCATTGTTGAAGCCAGATCGAGGACTGACTCCCACAGGCGCTGTTTGCGTAAGGAGGAGAGGGCTTTGTTGCATTGGAATAGTTCAGCCATTCAATCGAGAATGCAAAGAAACGAGGGCGAAAGGGTCGAATGCACATCAGAGCTTACAGGGGTTTACCCCCGGCGACCATATCAGCCGTGGCCCAGCAAGAATCCGCGCCGTCACAGGTCCGGTGAGGACATCGCAAGATGGACACTCTTGCGATCGGGCAGACGATACCGGCATGTGGCAGGCTCACGTCCGACGACATCCATGGCATCGCGTTAGCGCGCTGCTCACAGAGTTGAAATCTCACAGTGTGCATCCAGCTGGGCTTCGATGACATGATCGCTGGAACATGTCCTACTGATGCACAAAAATCGTGCGCTCAGCGGGCCGCACATTGCCTGGCTTTGTTTATGAAGATGCGGGGGCCCCCACCCCCTCGGAAGCCCATGGTCCTGCACCAATACAGGTGTGCATTTCCACTGGCACAGCTTGCTTTTCTGGCCCACATCGCTCCTGCTTCGGTCTTGGTCCAGGCGTAGCCGCTTCCTGATCGAGGGCACAGGCATGAACTTGCCGCATAGTGATCCCGAAAAAGAATCTTCTTCTGCAGCTTGCAGAGCTTCCGCCAACTGATGATCCTTTAACCTCACCATGACTATGGGCTTCTCATCTTGATGGACACATCGGCAAGACTAAGACGAAGAGTTTTCTCGTCATTCCAGCGACCATCAGTACCTCAGTACCAGCAATTCCTTAATGCCACCAACACCTTGTTTCTGGCACTATTGCGAGCTCGCTTTGCGCCTGGACTTCCACCATGGATCGACAAGCCTGAAACGCCTGAAGCGGACACGCAAATAATGAGATGTCAACCGTTCATACTTCGGAAAATCATGCGAGGGCTTTTGCGCCTACGATAGATGCACACTGTAAAACTGGACATTTTTCTACACTGTTCAAACAATAAGTAGAACCTGATCAGAAAATAGAAAACTATGCTCTGGCATCTTGTCTATGTCAACTACTCTGCGCCCTACTGGGTGCCATGTATTGAGCTGCTCTGCGTTGGCATAAGTAGCAAGCAAAAACTGCGCTTGGGTGAGTGTGTGCATGTTGATGCTTGCATGCACAGCCTTTGACGAAGCGGCCAGTGGACGTTTGAAAAAACGCTGGTACACGCACACCGTTGCGCACATGCGCCACGTCATTCCCGTCGTGTTCACTACCAGCCATGACTCCATAAGAACGTTTCTGTCGCTCCCCTTGCTGGCATCCCCTGTTTGAGTGCAGCAGTCATTGGCCCAAACTCTTCAACAACACAAAGAGCTCGTCGCGAACCGCATGCACTGTGTGCCCTAGCGGGCAGCGCGCAGTTCAATGCCGGCCTGGCTGTTTGTGCTGTCGGAATCGTCGCTATCCCACTCCGTTGTCCCCGAACAAGGTGTCCGAGTAGTTTCCTTGGTCAAGGATTTGCACAGCTTCTATAAGGCTGCAGATGCCTCGTCTAACCTCTCGCGGCCCCAATCGAGCTCACTGCGCCGGTGAAGCTCCAGTGCATCTGCTGGACACCAGAACGACTGGCACAACCGTTCCGTGTGCTTGCCGGGGGCACTGAGTGCAAACATACAAGCTTCCGTCCCGCCTCCACATAGCCTGCTCCTCGACATAGAGGTGACGCAGAGCCTCGTGTATGAATTGGCGTGGGAATGTCTACATCCTGCCGACTGAGCACCAATCTCGCGCTTGTAGTAACTAGCACTCCGCCGTTGGACTTTCTTCTCGGAGTGGCAGGTTTGGCAGAGGCTGTGCTCTGCAGAACCTCGCCCGTCACGCTGTCTGTGTCGAGCAGGCTCAGCCAAGCTCCCAACAGCAGCACTATGGAAAGTGGCAAGAGTCAAAAGCCTTCTGCATCGATGCGTCGCTTTTCACGATTGAGTCCGATGAAATACCCGAAGCGCAGAGATGTCAGCAAGCGTTCTCGCACCGCGCCCTCGCGGAGAAGGCATTGGCACCGAGCACCAGTCGATGATTCCGTGGTGCTCGAGATGTCAACGTTCAAATGCGGGAACCGCTACCGCAGCCTCCTAACGGGATGGATGGACCAAAGAGACTGACTTGAGCATCTTTATCTCAGAAGCCAGAGGCAGTTGATGTTGTAGAGGGGTGATCCCAACTGGCCCCCCTCACATATCTGAGACTCTAGGTCTCTTTAGCTTGTCTTCATCACCAACTGCCCGCATGCAAAGCGTCGATCGACCGCGGAGAATATTTATTGGGTATAATGGTTCAATTTGCGCACAGAGAGGCTACAGGTCCTGAGCGGCAAGGTGGGGGCTGCCAGGCCTAAATCAACTACACACCAATGGATGCCCTCCATGCTCAGGGCCCGAGGAGCCCAATTGCCTGTGCTCTCGGCCATCTCATGGGCCTTTCCAAAACTTTTGAAAGATTCCTGGGTGGTTGGCATGACGGCCCTTCAACTTCGACAGGTGGGAAGTAGAGCAGTTTTGTTGATCTGGCTCGGTGCGAAGTTGCGAACACTGTGTAATGCGCAAGAAGTCTGCCGCCCCATGAAATTCACGGATTCCCCGGCCTCCAGCCAGGAGTCAACGCGAATCTCACTAATTCTCCTAGTCTGCCAATCACGGCACCGGTGACACTCTCGCTTCGGCTGCAAGCCGAGGTCAAGTGAACAACAGGATGGCCATCCTGTTTCCGTAGTTCTATGATGTGCAGCTTTTCGTCTATGATGCAACGCTCTGAATTCCATCAGCGGTCGAGCATGTGAACTGCTCCGTCTATCCGGATGGATACC